GGAAGCTACATATTTGAAATTGGTATCTATGTTATCGTCCTAGATCCCTACCATGAGCTTTATAATTTAAAGTGCTTGTCTCGCGAAAGGAGGACTGTGCAGAGGATGTGAGAAAATATGGGTGAAAAGAAATTACATCCTTTTAGTTGTAGATCTTGTGATATCTTCCCATCATGTATCACTACAATCAATTGTTTATGCAAAGCTACATCAACCCTATATGCAATGATGCACCATAGGCAGGCTAAAGAACACAGTCACTAATGTGCTCCTTTGCTATCAAACCCTCTTGAATCTCTCTAAAAGTTTCAAACGGCAAGGCAATGGTCATACCTTAAAAACATTGAGGTGACTTATGACCAGTATTGTAAAAATAAAAAAAAGGGGTAAAAGTCATGTGGTTATATTTAAAGTTGATAACGTTGTGTTTCATTGAGGTGAAGAATAGTGTTTTATTTTTCTCAAGATGGCAAAAATGCCACATTGTGAGGTAAAAACTCTATTTTTTCCATAGGTTGGCTAGAAATGCGAGGTTGTGTTTAGTTTTAGCAGTAGAGGCAAAAATGTGTCACTTCTCCTCTTTACAAGCAAAATCTAATGAGGCAGGAAAACAAATTTGTGTTATTATAGTTGGGTGGAATTGAAAGCCAAACTTTTGGCACAATGTGATATCAGGTTTATTCAGTTGACAAGTACTAGTGCAAAAAGTGAATGAATAATGAGACCAAAGTTTACTTGATTTTACCTCAATGAGGTTACATCCATGGACTTAGATCTTCATCTAAATCCAAGAGAAAAAAACACAAAACTTCATTTAGTTTATTTAGAATCCTAACTTGTACGTGGGCTTCTCCTCCAAATTTCTTTGGTAAAATATCAAACAAAAAAAATATATAAGTGGGAGTAAAGATAAATCGAAAACAAATGTCATTATAATTGAATGTTGTTATTGTCAAGCAAAAATTCCATTAGAGATAGCTTAAAGTCTCTCTTAATTTTATTTGCATAATAGTGCTCTAGGGTCAATTTATTACTTGTTTTAAAAAACTCTCATAATTGATTGTGCTCATGTGTCAACTGTTAAGTGAACCTCTTTGCATTATGTCACGTTTATTCAAACTCTAAACATCACTACTCTTTATAAAGGTCCATTTTCATCATCTACGATGGCTTGGAAAACTAAAATGTCTATTAAGGTATAGTTTTTGCATGAACTGATGCTCGTAGTAGGATTAATACCTTCGCTTGGATTCAAAGAAGAGGTCAAATGCTTATTTCTCTCGTTATTGGTGTGTTATTTGTAGGAGTTGTGATAAGTTTAATTATTGATTTTGTTATGGGATTAAGATTTTTGTATAGTATATTTAGGGAGATCAAGACGGATTGGGTGATACCGCGTTGTGGTGTGTCCATGCTTGTGGAGGATAATAGAAGTTTTGGAAGGAGTAAGATGGCAGGTGTTTTATGGAGTTATGTGGTTATGGCTATTTTTTGATAATATGAAAGGAGAGAATATTCTTGGGAAAGTCAATGAGATGTAGTTAAGTTTTTGGCTATCTTATAGGTTTCAGTTACCAATGAGTTTCGGAACATTGCTTTATTGGTTTGCGACTTGTGAATTATGCCGCTTGTGTTGTGTTATTGTATCTTGTTTTTATTTTTTGTGTCTTGGTTGGAATCCTTATCTACCATCTATGTACCTCTTTTAATTATTAATAAATGTTTTGTTTCTTATCTAAAAATTCCTTCTTTGATAAAGTACTAAACGAGAATTGTCTATTTGTATCTTTATTGAATTCCTTCTTTGATAAAGTACTAAAAGAGAATTGTCTATTTGTATCTTTATTGGATAAGTGAGAATTGTCAATCTGTTGATTTACTCTGCAAGCCAAATTGAAACAAAACCAAAAAGACGTAGGAATTTGCAATAACAAGTTCCGAATTTATGATGTAACTACTTTATTTATTAATAAAATTTTTGTTTCCTATAAAAAAAAGTTCCGAATTTATATATTTCGTTCATCTTTATCAACCTCCAAGAACTAGGAGTAGGATTCATGTACTTTTGATAGGATACGTTTAGAATAATAGTGGATGGAAGTTGATTGAGATTCTTGAAAGTGGACAATTTTGGAAATGAAACACTCCAAAACCAGTTAAGAGTTAAGACAATAATTGTTACAGATCCATTGAATAACTTCCAAACCATGTCTAACAGTTAATTGTGGGGAGCTGCTCCCAAGACGTCTAATTCATAACCCATAAGCCATAGGCCACTCACCTATCTATAGGAGTTAAACGTAAAGACTAATTTTAGACTATGTGATGTAGGTCAACTGTGGAAGCTTGGAACGATTCTATGTTTGATTTTATGTTAGGTTTTGTAATTTGAGCACTTGTAAGTACTAGCAAGCACAAACGGGAGAATTCAGCAGAAGAACTGCTGAAATAGTGTGGACCCATAACAATGTACAAAAGAACAGGTAAGCCTTTCAGGGTTGTATCAGAAGACATGGAAAGAGGTGTTTTATGTCAGCAACATAAGCCCATATGGATTGCTCTTCTAGTAGTTTCATGAAAGTAGCTTGGATTTCGGGCAACACTGTGATTCGGGATTTTATCTTTTTACCAAGTTTAATATTCAATCTACTAGAACTCATTTAACAGAATATTAGCTTAGAAGTGTTTCACAATTATCTGGTAGGGTCGACCTAAACTGGCCCGTCTTGTATATAATTCAACATGCCAACTATCAAACAACTTGTTAGAAATACAAGGCAGCCAAGCCCCGCTCTTCCGTCAATGCTCACAGCGTCAAGGAACATGCATTAGGGTGTACGTGTGACTCATTCAGATTGTGAACTGGCCCAAAAGAAAGAAAACAATCTTTACAAGATCCATGATCAATAACAGTGAGTATGATAGGATGGAAAAACAAATTATATGCTGTGTAGAAGTGAGAAAATCTATCATACCCTGTACCTTGTATGAAATTTATGGTTTCCACTAGCGTGAATCTAATCACCTAAAATTAAGATGAGAATCATTTCTCCTTTGGTAACAAATGGTTTCTCCGCCCTTGGCAAATGAAATAGAGGGAGAGATCTGGAAGAGAGAAAGAGAAAGAGCACATGGTTTAAAAGTCCAATGGGGGAAGAATGTCCAACACTTGACTGCCTTCAATACTAAATATACCCCAAGAGGTATAAACCTATGCCTAGGCAGATCCCAACCGATAGGCGCCAGATGAATTAATGGCAAGCAAGACAAGCAAAGTAGCCCGCTGGGGAAAGTTATGAATTTTTTCGATCATATGAGCGAACATTACATTGATCTCAATCTAGTTGACTTTATTGATTTAGTAGATCCAACCAGTTGAACAAGCAGAGCTAGCAGCACCAACAGCAGCAGTACGTTGCTAAAAGAGTATGTTCTCTCTCTTTCAATTTTCTGTTTTGAAGGCCTAATAAGAAGGAATAGCAGGGCAAGGTTTTTATATGTAGAAAGGAGGTGGAAGGCTTCGTGGATGAGAGAAGATTGAAATTGGCTTAGTTTAGGAAAGAGTATTTTTTATGGAATTCAGAAATAGATACGTTGAAGTTTTGGACTTTAACGTTCCTAGTGTTTCGTGTATTCAAGCAATGGCAACCAAGGATACTAGGACTTCTTGGTTGAAAATAAGGGCTTTTGAGGGATTGTGAACAGGTGCTTGGAAATAGTATCTAAGAAAAGAAGAGATGATAAGACAAAGAAGAATCTAGGTATGTCATATAATGTCTAATTATTTCTGCTTGTAAGGGCCGAGTCATATTTCAAACACAATGCCAAATTGTAAGAATCAACTCCATTGCATAGAGTTGTGTAAGCGTGTAAATTTTTGTTATTCCACCTGCAACAGAGTACCATGCTGCGTCTGGACTTCAAACAGTTTAGCTTTTACCATGTTAAAGGTCCCACATTATTGGTTGATAGAGAATCAAAGTAGATTTACCAATGAATTATGAAATGCTATAGTTCTTACATATGATTTCTTAATTTATTCAGAAGTCTTTCGCGAGATCATGCACCTTTCTTTCCTAATTATAATGGAAAAAGTACAGCTGGTTGGATCCAGCCTATTCTTGAAATAAACAAGGGCTAGGACTCAGAGGTTAACTTGACACTTTGACCACTAGATGTGTACTACACCAGCTAAATACTTCATGTGAAAAAAGGATGACAATATTTCGCTTAATATATGACTCATGGACCACAACTATTGTCCATGCCTATCAAATCTAGTGATATTCGAAACACTCTTTTCTTGTCAAATATAGTTAGATATCTATATGTTTTCTCAAGATTGTAGTATATTGTAGTAAAACCTAATAAATATACTTTTTTATCAAAAAGAAAAACAAGAAAAAGAATAAAAGTGTAATAATTACAGTACCACTTCAATAGATGTGTTTTAAGCCCAAAAATGCTTCTGAGTTGCCATGGATCTAACAACATTTGTTTTACACTTCCAAAAGCCTATTGGATTTGTGCTGCTTATCCATAGAGCTGCTACCGTAATACTTGTGTATTTTAATCTTCCTCACAATTTCTTGTTTCTTCAAAATTTAGTGCTTTTTCCCAGGATCTGCAAATTGATGGTCTTCTGGTTTCTCTTGGAAGCATATGTTGCAACAATTAGGGTGAATCACTACATGATTTAGTCGGTAAAAGAAGGGAATAGTTAGCTAGAAAAAGGAAAGACAGAAAGAATGGTGAGAAAAAGAAACAACAAACATGGAAACATGGAACAGTACTCTTCTCCTCATATAAGGAACTCTGAATTCATTAAAGAGTACTTCATAACAAGAGCCTCAAATTTGTTGAGTTTTTAGGCTAGGAAACCATAAACAACCTAGAAAATTGTAACATAGATCAAGGACAAACAACCCAATCATAACATACTTAAATTATCCAAAGTTTATTAGTAAACGAAATCCTTAGGTAAAGTCTCTCCTTGTTCAAATCAAGCTTTGGCTCTTGGAATTAGGTGGACTTGGAGCTCAACGATGTTTGCCCAGTTTTCATCTGGCGCTTGTTATTGTTGATCCAAACTTTCAAGACTTGATGAGTGATTCCAACCTCTGAACAGAACTGGCGTATCTCTTCCCCGTTGTTTCCCCTCAGTTTCCACCCCAATTTGTTCGCAAAAGCCCTCATCTGGTCCTTTTGTGCCAGTGTAAACTTCGTTCGGACTCTCTTCTTCGCCCTTGTTGCCTCCTTGATCTCCCCGCCATCCAATGTTTCTGATGGCCCTTCACTTGGCTGTGGATTAATAGGTGGTGGAGGAACAACATTAGATGTGGGGCAATTGATCCCGGAAAGCTGGTGATGGGGGGCAACAGGCAGTTCCTGCTCCACCCTTCTGTGGAAATGGTGGTGGCAATCACAGGCTTGACAGAACATGGCTGCATGTAGCCAGTGGTTCCCACCAGATGCAAAAGCACCACAACTATTAAAAACATAGCCTAGAATTGGTATTGCATGGTTTCGCCTGCACGCCTTATAGCTTACAACAATCCCTGGCCAAGCTCCACCAGAACCATTGTTTGCAACCATGGTAGAAATAGAGATAGAGAGGTGGAATTGTGAAGGAGAGAATAAGGCAAGTAGACCACCTCTATGTGTGAATGAATTTATCCACTAGAAGGGAGTCCACATACATGCACATAGGCAGAGAAGAAAAGAGAGCGGTAGGTGTTCATTTAATGAAATGGTTGTGATATTTGTCATTACTCTACTAAATGGTCATTTGAATTACTTTTGTGGTATAAAACAAATAATAGTTGTGCGCCTATTAATTTTTTTTTTTTGGGTGGGGGGACGGGGAAGGGGGAGAGGGAGAGAGTCCTTGAACCCTTGACCTTAAGAAGGCAAAATCTTGACAAGGTAAGGAATACCATTAGACCAAAGGCCCGTTGGTGAGCCAATTCATTTGGAAGTTGAAAGCTCTGTGAAATTAGAGATCCCATATCCATCCTTCACTATTTGCTACACATACTATTTTTCCCTCATTGTTTGATTGAATGAAGCAAAAAAAAAAAAAATTAGGCTAGAAATCCTTTTTGCTTTTTCAAAATGGCATTTTAATTTTGTTGGTTGGCCAAATATTAATCACAAAGAATATGAGCTGTTTGGCGAGATTTATTACAATTTTGCAAGAGGTTATCATGATGTTTACCAAGTATAATAACATAATATATCTCCTAGTGCACGTGTCAGATTTAGGTGCACTAAATAAACAAAATAATTATGGAAAGAAACATATTTGCTATTGTGGATAACTTCGAATTAATTGAATTGATGGGAAGGTAATGTAGCTAGGCATGGGAAAATTAGGAAAAACAATGCTGTCTATGGTAAGTTTGTGGTGAGTTACTTGTGGAGATATTGTTGAATTAGGCATTAACATGTGGAAGAAAGTTTGGAAGATAAAAATTGACTTCTGGCTATGCTTTAGAGGTAGTACGATAGATTAGGGAATGGTAGAGCAGTGGAGGTGATGTTTTTAAGTGATGTGAACAATGCTTGTGCATATTGAAAGGGTTAATTTGATGGTTTATCAATTGCTAGGGTATATTATTAGATTAATGGAGGATTGGTTCATAAGACTGAAGAACTGTTTGTAGGGCCTGATAGCAGGTCTGAAAATGCAGAAAAAATAAGGAAAAGAAGAATGAAGAATCATCAAGGAATCATACTAATAACCTTTGCGCCTCATGCTCCCATGAATTTGACCAGAACACACCAACATAAAGGCTGCTTAAATTTTCTGAAATTCTAGTACTAGGACGAGAAAATATGAAATCTTGACCACTTGATTAGGACTAGTTTAGACTATCACATACGTCATATACGACCCTAATAACATTAGTTGACCTAAGATTAACATTTAAGAAGACTTAATTTGGCTCCAAACTTGATTATAAATGTCCAAGGCTGGTGAGACAACTATTTCTTTTTCATGTTAGACGGTTTATGCGCTCTTGCTCAAGCAAGGGATCACTTGAACATCTATGCCCTCTTGTAATTTTATTTCTAAACGGAAATCATCTGTGTGTTATTGTAGTGCTGCAAATGAAAGGATCCAAGCATGAGTTTTGTTCTGCTTAGTTTAGAGTGTTCAAGCTCTGCATTGACCTTGCTATGAGCCTAGACATGCTTTTGAAAATTGACTTGCCAGGGATCCAAGCAACTCACGTTTGCCTTAGGTTTGGCTTGTAACAGCTCACTTTCTCTCAGAAGATGTTCTGAGTTTAGTTTTGGTCTTGCTGATGAAGTGGAAGAAATTGGGTGGTTTGACATTATGTGTACCTGTTTGTGTCCCCATTTTTAGGCACCTTATAAGAAAACCTAATTATAATACATTCCATAGTTTATCGAATTATAGTTAAGAAACTCACAATAGTGTGATACTATGATACTTGAGATGAGAATTTTTCTAGGGATTTACAAGATGGATTATTCAATTTTTTGCCAATTATAGACATTGAAACATCCTTTGGACCTGACTTGATTCTGAAACACTAGGATGATGGTCATGGTTATGAATTATGTTTGCACTAATCACATTGAACTCTGTGCTTATTGTACACCCATTCTTTGAAACATGGGTGGAGCTACTCGTGATGTTGCCCCCACTCAATTTTGAAGAAATTCTACATAGGTATTGCTATGAAAAAACAAACTATTACATTGCCCCCTCTTAAGTTTTTAAAAACTTGTATATTGACCTTAGTCCATTTTATTTTTGGTAAATTAGTTCTCCATTTGCCCTTTAATTTACTAAATCAAATATTTTTTTTAGATCGAGTAATAAAACAGATGTGAAATGTCCACCAAAAACAACACCTCTGTTATTTAATGTATTTCCTCTTATATCTTTCAGGAAATAATTGTATAATTGTTCATGATTAAATTAGTGGCTCATAAGTCTTAACCCAATAACACACGATAGATGCAAATAGTAGAATATATTATGCCCTTCCAACAATCAATTTCTCAAATTTATGTCATGAAAATGACCAATTATAAAATATTCATGGGATTTGTAACACCGTTGTCGTGTTCTACTATGATATATATTTTTTTAAACTTCCACTTTAATTTATGATCAAGTTGAAATGTGTTATGAAAAAATTAATTTCTTTGCTAGTTCATATTTTGTTAATTGTTACATTAATATTATTTTAATTTTCATATAAATTCTAATATATAATTTCTCAAACTTAAACTTGGGAATTTTCTTGCACAAATATAATATCAATTTAGTCCTTATTAATCCAGGTCCTAGAAAATTTTTATATAAATGAATTATTTTTTTCATTTATATTTTTGCCCCCTCTAAGAGAGAGTATTGGCTCCGCCCTTACTTTGAATCCAAGTGTTGTCTTTAATGCCATAGTTGTACATGGGGTTTCTTGTATCTAACATTAAGGGATGCTTTTTTTTAATTCTTGGTGGCATACAAATATGCAAACCGACCAATGTTATAGTTACATGCGAAAAAACTCTAATATTCCTCTCCTTTTCATTTATGGTCATAATGATTTTTCTTTTTTGAGTGGTAACATGGGGTTTTAAAAATAAAGGTGTGAGGCTTGTCCTTGGGGGTGGAGAATTAAAATCTTGTTTTGGCGTACCATTTCGGTTGGCAAATAAGTGTGATTTTGTGAAGACAACAAAAATAGGTAGAAATTCGGAAATGCTTGGAAACACAAGATCTTTTGAGGGTCTTTAGCTTCCAATTTACAGGCTCAAATGAATTCTGTTGAATTTTGTGTTTTGTTTTATGCTATTTTATTTTCAGTTGTGTAAAGAGACATGAATAAAAACCAAGATTCTTCTCTCCTGTACGTTTTTTGACTGTTTACACTCTTCTTTTTGAATATGAATGTTCTCGACTTACAATTTATTCCCATTTTGGTGGTGTAATGGATATTTTTTGGTTTAAATAATATATCTTAAAGAATGAAGATATGTTTAATAATTGGACTAAAGTAGAATCTAGACGTGAACTCAAATGTGATTGAGTCAATAAATAAAGCTAGACAATTCCTTTCTTGGTAAAAACAAGCAATAATAGACAATCATTATCAAACATAATGTCATGAGGAAATTTTTATGCCATATATCCAATGCACAAAGTAGACATTTTGGCTCAAGTAATATAGTATATAAGTAACAATTAACAAGCTAGGCTATGAAAAAATGCGTTGCAGATATTATACTAAGCTATTCCTCACCTCTTGTATTTTTCCTCTTATGTTGTTTGTAAGTAAAAGTGAGGAATTTTCTGCACTTTTTGGTTATGATCCTTTAATTGCCTTCCCCAGCATGTGCAGGGACAACTCTCTTTCGGTGGATTTATGTGAACCCTGGTTTTCCAGCCATGCATTTTTGATAGAAATGATCCGAATTATCTTTTTGCCTACGGCTAGGTATAGTTCGATGTTCAATGATACTGAAACTTTAAAAACATTTAGATTAAAACTTTTTTATGAATAGTTTATCATGCCCATTGATGTTACTTTGGGCCAATAAGTTAAGGGTATTAGTATGTTGCAAGGACGTATTTTGGATGTCTAATGGATATTGAATGGCTCCATAATCTTTTCCATGGCATTTTAAGATACAGTCCTATCAACAAGTGTAGGGCCATTCAATGAAGCAGTGACACAAATTCAAAGCTAAATATGAATAAGTGTTTGATATTTCATATACTAACTTTTATGTTCTTGTTTCTCTGTGTCTATGATCTGTGATCTTTGTGATTTAGGGAAAGTAGTCAAAATAGAGTTTTTCTCTTTGGCATTTTAATTTATAGATTCCAAGGGGAGACCACTTCTGTCATTTAGTGGAGTATATTTAACTTTAATTTTCTACTCCACCTCTTTCACATCTCTCTCCTCTCTCTCTCTCTCTCTCTCTCTCGCACACACACACTCTTTCAAAGCTACATGCAAATGAACCTATTCTCAAATTTAATGTCGTCTCTAGATGTATTGGACGTAGTGCAACACCTTAACAAATAGTCAGGAATGACTCAAGGCAATTTGAGGCCTTTTTATTTTTACTATTTTAAATTTTTTATGTGTGTGTGAGAGAGAGGGAGGATGTGTTACACTTGGTAGAGAATTAGAGGAGGGCCAATGTTGCCAAGAGATGTTTTAACTTTTGCTTTTATTTTTTACCAGAGAGGGGCTTAATTTTAGCTTTTGTTTCTAGTTTTTACCATAGAAGAGGAAAGAGAGAGAGAGAGAGAGAAAATGAATGAATGTGCGGGGTAAATATGAGTTGAGTTTTGTGTAGATTTTTTTTGTAATTTTTTTTTTTAACTTTTGATTTTTGGGTTTCTAATGTTATGGATTGGATCATGGGCCCAAATTATTGAAATTAAATTTTTTGAGGCCTCTTGGTAGGGCTTAAAATTTTCATATATTTAAACTTTTGATGTGGACCAACTACATAACTAAAATTGTGGGGCATAAAGCCCAAGCTTTAGCAGCTATAAGGTTGGCCGGCCTTGCAAGTAATGACCTTATTTGATGTGATATATTATGTTTCTTAATTACTTGCTTACAGGAAGTTAATGTATTTGATCTTTGATAAGGTAAAAGGATAACTGGTGTGTTTATGGTGCTGAAGTGACATAACATGTTTTTTCAGAAATTTGTGAAAAGTTCAAAGGTGTGGTGGAGTAGGTATATGTTTTTCTAATGATAGTAGACGGGCGAAGTCACTTTTTTAACATTTATTTTTGTTTTATTAGACATCTA